GACTGGCCCTGCCCCGGTGGCTGCCCTTGCACAGGTGAGGTGGTGAGAGAGATGCCCAGGAACACAAAGATGCCCTGGAGAGCTCCTCAGGGGCCCTGTGCTCTGCTCAGCCCCGCACTCTCAGCCCTCGCACTGCTTCTGGACTCCATACACCCAGGGGAACGTGGCTGGGTCTGTCCTACATCCCCTGCAGCTCCAGCCAGCGCTTTCTAAATTTCTGTATCTGATGCAAGGTGGAGAAACAACTCAAATGTCAAAGGGAAGAGCCCGTGGGGCACTGAGCTGCTGGGCAGGTGGCAGGCTCTTCCTCTGAGCACCAGGGTGACCTGCAGGCCATCCTGGGCTGTGGGGGAGCAGCTGTGATGCCTGTAGAGGCTCAGCAAGGCTGGGGGAGAAGGGCTGGGGCATGCTTGGTCCTGCATGGGAATTGCTGTGAATGGCTCTGCTACCTAGCCCTGTCCCTGGAGGAAGAGTGAGCAAGTGAGAGAAGCTGCTGAATCCTTAGGGGAAGAAGCAGCTACTGTAACTTTTTTTTTTTTTTTTTTAAGTTAAAAGACAAAAGAAGCCTTGGAGAGAAAAAAAAAAAAGAAAAAAAGAAAATTACTTTATTTTTCTAAGTGTTAAACTCAGTATTTATGTAATTCTTTAAGGAATAAAAGTTTGGCTCCTGTACAGTTTTAATGGGGTTTGTACCAGGGGGATGGGAGAGGGGTGGGTGGGCGGGCATGGAGGCAGGAAAGGGGCCTTGCTTTTGAGTTTGTATTGTAACCTTGGACATGTTCCCTCAGCATTAGCGTTTAAGCTGCACTCTCCATCCACCAGCATGTGCCAGGGATCAAGCTGAACCGAGTGGGATGCTTGTTTCCTACTTAACTGTAGCAAGGACTTCATACCCATACTTTTGGGCTTAATGGGCAGAAGTCAAGTGAAGACCAGCAGTGGTCTCTGGAAGTGGTAAACCCATTCCTCAGAAGCAGGCAGTTTGCAGTGTGCCCAGGAGCCAGAGGTGGGCTGGGTTTTCTGCTGACCACCCTGTTCACTTCTGGTCCAGGGACCTACAGCTGTTCTGTCACTGCTCTTGGCACGGAGCAGTGGTGCTTGTGACTGCCTGAGGGACATGGGTGTCCCCACTCCTCCCTGTGGTAAGTGACCAGCAGTGGCTAATCCCTTTTCTCCCTGCTTGCTGTGCAGGCAGCATCTCCTGAACTCCTGGGTGACAATCTGGGCTGTACTTCCCCCTCTGCAGCCATTCTGCAGTGCACAGATGGGGACAGGTCTCCTCCAAGCTCCCTGGGCTAAGAATTCCCAGAAGAGCCTTTCAGCCTTTGATCTGTTAGCAGCCTGGGAAGGGCTCATGGGGAGTGGAGTGGCCCATCTGGTGAGGGTGATGTTGCATGCTGCCTCCCCTTAGAATTCTTGCTCTAAGAGTGATGCAAACCCTGCAGCTCAGAGCATGTGGGAGTGCTGAGCCGTGTCCCATGGCTCGGTGTAGGAAAACTGCTCCATGATGCTTCCAAAACCACATAGATACCTAGGAGTTCATCCAGGGAGAAGTGTGGGATCAGAGTTTGCGTTGTCCTTTGCCCCAGCACATCACTGTGGCCTGGCTTTGCTCTGCTTTGCTTCTGCTGGCACTATGGAGCAGAGCTGTTGGGCCAGAAGGGCAGGAGAGCCCCTGCTGCTACAGGGTGTGTGACTGCATCCCCTCCCTGGCTCCCCAAAGGCAACTGCTGGTTAAACGCTAATGGTGTATTTTATTTAAGTGCAGACTTGTAAGAACACTTGTGTATCAGGGATGAAATGGCATTTATTGTGTGGTGACATTTTTAGTTCATTTTACTGGTTTGAGGGGTGTGTGTGCGCGCGCGTGTGTGTGTGTGTGTACGCATAAGTGTGTGTGGGATTATTTTTTTTTTCCCCTCCAGTTTCCAGGGTTGTGTTTCTGGAAGGATGTGGAAGTAATCACAGTACTATGTACAGAGCTTTCTTTTGTATTAAAAAAAAAATTTACTCTTTCAATAAATGTTATCATTTTGTGCACAGATTTGGGATCTTGACTGTGCTTTGTGGGAGGGGGTGACGCACAGCCAAGGGGGATCATGGAAAAGAGGGGCTCCTCACAAAAGTTTCTATCCCCACTGATTCCTGCACAGGTTATTCCTGACCACCTGGACTTATCCTTGGGAGTCTCAGCCTAATGTGTGGGCCAGAGCCTGACAGAAGTGCTGTGAGGGCTCTTTCCTGAAAGCTCTGGAACAATGTCCCTGGTGGGCAGGGCATCGTGTCAGTCAAGAGAAATAAAAAACAGCAATGAGGAGGAATGGGGAATTTTGGAAAAGAATTTCTGCAGGGAATTTACCTACTTCATGGGTGTTAATAGGGAGGAACAGGGAGACTTAAATTCCCTGCAGGAAACTGCTATGAGAAGATATGGTAATATTCAAAATCAGTCTGCAGGGGCTTAGAAGCCAGATCAAGGACACATGGAGGCTCAGAAAAGTGTCCAAAAGTGTGTGAATAAACCCAAAGGTAGAGGAGCTCATTGCAATCATCAGGGCTGTTGGGCCAGAGTATGCCAGCTGAAAATGCAGCTGCTGGCCCCTCTATAGCATCAGGTTCTGGAGCCAGTATAGTGTGAGGAAAGCTGAGCACTGATAAAAGTGCAGTTTGGAGAAAATACCTCAGGGGGGAAGAGGATTGTACAGAAAGTGCTTAGGAGCAGAAGACAGCTGAAATGGCTTTTAGCCCTGTGCCTACAGCTGTGGCTCGTGGTTCAACACTACAAACATCCTCTCAGCACCAGCAATCCCAAATCACCTGTGCACAGGGGCACACCTGTGTGTCACTTACACACCATGGAGCAAGATACCACAGGTACAGAGCTTTACTTTTAGGATAAAAGACTAAGCATGGTGTGGAGACCATCAGAACAAAGACATAAGCAGGCTGTGTGAATACCACAGAAAACCTCTCCTTGTCACAAACAAGATGTCTTGGTAGTGAACAGGGAAGGAAAATGACATATAATTGAAAACAGAGATTTCAAGAGCATCTGGAAAGAAAGCATCAATAGCACCAACAGAGATCACATGTGCTAATGGAGAAATCAAGAGTGTGGCTAGGAAACACAAACCTTTACAATCCACCACTGGTGCCCACAGGTTTGGAGGATGGTCTCCACAAACTGATGCAGCACTGCACTGTTTTATCCAGCCTATAATTAATTGCAATTATACTGTTTGGATTAATTGCTGATTGCTATTGTAAAACATGGAAATTGTCTAATCCATTTCATTAGTAGTGAGGGTAGAAATTAGGCTGGGCACATACAAGTTGCTCCAGGATCAAAAATAAGAAAGCAAATTCTCATCTAGTTAGCTGATGATTTTAATGGCTGTTTGTAATTTAAAACAAATCTTATCAGACTGATAGAAACTTGCGCCCCAAGGAAGGGCAGTATGGGCACAGGATAAGAATTTAGATTTTATGGTATGGACATTTCAGATCAGTGTGACACCAGAGCTGGAAAGGAGCTGGAAACAGGCCAAACTTGTGTGCAGCTGGCTTCAGCTGGCTCTGCCGCAGCACAGAGAACAGGGCAGCGTCTCAGAGCCCCAAACCTGCCGGGAGCCAGCACAGCTGCCACTGAAGCCAGCAGGGTGGATGGAGGGTGGGTGCAGGGCTGGAACCACCCCAGGGCCAGAGGCCTGACATTGCTGCACTGTAATTCCTGATTAATGGTGCATTTGCAGTAATAACATTAGTGCTGACATGCTTTTAGCCTTCCTGCCACCCATCCTGCTACAGCCCTCGAACACAATTAATCACCAGAGAAATGGTACCAACACACAGCACAGCATTACTAGCTTACCAAAAAGCAGCTCACTCCAGCTGATGCCTTCTTCAGCTTGCAACTTCCATTTGAGCTTGTTTCTAACATCAGCCAGGGGAATCAGAAGATATTCCAATCTTTCATCTTTTTCCACGGCTCACCACTGTTCCTGGTGTGGAGGAACAGCAGCTTTGTGACCCATGGGCACAGCCAGGCTGAGGTGCCAGCTCAGGCCTGGAACTGAGGGACAATGTGGGGCAGCCAGCAGCGCTCTCGTGGCACATTCCCGATGGAATCCTGGGCTGCATCAGGAACTGCAGTGCCAGCAGGGCAGGGAGGGGATCCTGCCCCTCTGCTCAGCCCTGGGGAGGCCAGTCTGGAGTGCTGTGCCCAGTTCTGGGATCCTCAGGACAAGAGAGACCTGGAGCTCCTGGAGAGGGTCCCGCAGAGGGTGACAAAGATGGTGAAGGGACTGGAGCACCTCAGCTCTGAGGAGAGGCTGGGGGAGCTGGGCCTGCTCAGAGACACTGAGAAGAACCTCATCTATGTCTGTCAGTGCTTGCAGAGAGGGCCCAGAGCATGGAGCAGGCTCTGCTCGGGGTGCTTGGCAATGGGACAATGGGGCAGGAGCTGAGGCTCAGGAAGTTCCACCTGAACGCGAGGAAGAACTTTCCTGTGCAGTGCCCGAGCACTGGGACAGATTGCCCAGAGAGGCTGTGGAGTCTCCCTCACTGGGAATAGTCAAGAACCATTCGGACACCATCCTGTGCCATGTGCTCTGCGATGGCCCTGCTTGAGCAGGGAGCTTGGAGCAGATGACCCA